ACCATAGAGACGTGCATGCTTTCTAGCTTTATATACAGTTTTTTGCATTATCTATATTTTAATAATAAAAATTGTATGTGTTAATATAAAAATTTTAATATAAAGCAAATACTCGATATCTTACGCCTAATTCGTTTTTAAGTTCTTGATGATGAAAGTCAAGCGCAATAATAGAAAGTAATTGAAGTTTTTCTTTAGCCCCTCTTTTATTAATACCAAGTGCATTACAGAAACTATTCCAAAATTGATAATTTGTTATAATATTACATGGAGAGTTTTGATCCTGTATCTGAAGTAATTCCCATTTATATAAGTTTTGCAAGGTTTGTTGATCCGCCAAAGGATCTACCACACACGTCCAGAATTCAACATCAGATTCTTCTTTTGAATATGGTGTAATATTTGTGCATCCACAGGCTTTAAACATCAAACGCCAAGCAGCTAGTTCTTTGTGTTGAAAAAAAAATCAGGTGGGTATATGCTATATAAAATTTGTAGCATCTGAATTATTGAACTTTGTTGTAATACCCATTTTGTAAAAAGAACTTTCCAATTATCGATAGGCATTGAAATTTTTCTATGTTTGATATATAAGTCAAAAATTTGTTGTAAAACTAACTCGTCATTCCAGTAAAATGATGTACATGTTGTATGTATATTTTTTTTTGCTCTATTAGTTAATAATGCTTGAACTTTTGGGTCTTTTAACCCGAAAAGTCCAAAGTGATCTTTATTTTGATGCATTCCGTAACTATTCCATACAACAATAGGTGTTTCATCAACAAATTGTTGTATTTCGTTTTTGCCCTTAAAGATCCGCAAACTACACTGATTATCCAAAATTTGCTGTAAAATAAGGTAAGTCTCTGACCCACGACGTGTCATTAAGGATGATGTGTAACCAGAACCAGCATATAGAAAATCTTTTCGTGAAGAATACCCGATTTTTGAGACCACTATAGAAAACTTATCAAAACTTATATATAATGGAAAAAAGGAAATATCAGCAAGTATTTC